CATCTCCAAGGAAAGACAGTTTATCGGGTGAACATTTCCGTCCACGCATATTGCACATACACATAGGCTAGGAAAGTTGGCGTTTGGTCCTGCATCGTTTTGAGAAAATGACAAAGCAACATTCCTGACGATTACCTCTGCTTGTGCAGTATCTAGTTTTGGCACTTGCCAGGATTCATGCACCGATCCTAGATGCATGACGTCAGCTAAGCTGCTGACGATGTCATCAACATGCTAGCCTGGCCTGGTTGCCCACCAGCCCTTGAACCAGCCCTGGGTTGAGAAATTGTTGTGCAGCCCACCTGTCGACCATACAGATTTAGTTTACAAGCAGGCTGCTTGTGAGCGAAGATGTCACAGAGGATCAATGCGGCCCAGTCTGGTCAGGAAGTGACATTGCAGTGTGCATGTGGGATCTGGGGCCTGCGCGCAAATACTCAGAAACTTGACCTGCGTTCACCAATTGAACGGGTTGGCCGGGCTAGTCTGTTTCATTTGTGAACGCACGGCAAACATTTGTTTGTATGCCGGTCCGAGATCTTGTATGCAGGCCTCGGCCCAGTCATTCCCTGAATTTGCATGGTAATCCACTATGGCTACCGTCTGCTACCGAATGTACATATCTCTCCAGAGTGTCCAGCTCTGCATATGGTCGAGCGTAGTCGTATCTTCTGATGTCATGCGTACGCTTCTGACAAGCGCCAGGCAAGGCACCTTTGCTTTTGAGTCGAGAGTCCCTGGTCGGGCCTGGTCTGGTTTGGTCCCGGTACCGGGTCTGGAGTTTATTTGGTGAAGAACAGTTGCGCTGGAGTGCACAAAACTGTACAGGTGCTGCGGGGTTGTGATAATTATTACTATGAGTACCAATGTCGGGTCCTGCTCGCGACCGGCACGTGCCCGGAATCAGATTTGACGCGAAATTCGATTACGCTCGACCAAGACACCTGGATCAGGCGTTGCAAACTCTGGAGGTTAATGTTCTCATAAATCAGATTTGTACGGTATTATGACGCGAATATCCGATTACGCTTGGCCAAGGCACTATGCCGAGCTGGATCAGGCGTTGCACACTCTGGAGGGTTATGTTCTTTTTGTAGTAAACTGTACTCAGCAAACGCCTACAGCAGTCCCCTATCAGAATGTGGTCAAATGTGTGATATGAGGCCAGTGCAGGCATCATCACATGCATTGTGGACAAGTGAATCTTACCCCTTTGTTAAGAGTTGTCGAGCTTGATTGCAAAACACTGTCGCACTGAACCTTGCAGAATAAAATTTCGGCCGCAACACATATTCGGCCGAATATGCCCGGACCGAAAATAGCCGAACATAACGATGCGGCGAACATTTATTGACTTACTTTACATGTGCATGCTGAGGTCATGCTTCTGCGTCAGATCTTATCACCACCGCTCTTCTAATATTGTACTCGTGTCAAGGGTACAATGGAAAACCACCGTGGGCATCGTATTAGGCCATCATTTTTTATATCTATGTTTCGCGTCAGTTCAACTTCCAGAATCATATGCGAGAGGTGGAAAAAAAATTAAAAGTTGCAAAATAATAAAAAGGCTCATCAGAGGTGTATGCACTGTACATAGCACAATAGCTCGTGTATGATGTACATTCGAGAGAAAAAGCGTACATCGAAGCACAACATCTGGGTTATCAGCATGAGTAAATATTCACTTTGGACAGAGGAGGCAACCGTTGGTGCCCATGCTTCACTGGCTTATTGTACTGAGACTTCAGCAGCGGTACAAAGAGCTCCGGAACGACGCATCCTCTCAGCTTGAGGCGATCAATGCGGTCTGGTGTAAGCTCATAGAATATTGCTCCCAGATGCCGAACAAACGATTTACCAACGCTGGCCTAGAGGCCATTTCTGAATCCCAGCTTCCCCGTATCGCAACCAGTCCACACTGATGACTCGCACGATCGTACACTCACTGTGCATGTTCGATTTTTTTTCTTCCGAAAAAAGTCAAAACGTATGCGTGCGGACGACGCGAAACATAGCTATAAAAAATGATGGCCTTAGTGCTCTGCATGGGTGTCTATCACGGCGAAATCCCGGGATTATTTCGTGTAGTTCATGCAGACGAGCGGCAGGAACTGGCGTAGTGCTCAGTTTCAGCTGTGCACCACGAAACCTGCATTGACTCTAGCTTTTAATTATGTAGAGAAGATTTTCACTGGTTTGAGGGAAAGATACAAATGGGAAAAGTCTGAAGAAATAAAGGTTTTCCTCAAGACATCTGTAACAATGTGGAATATGTCGTTTTGTATACTTTCCCCGAGACCTGGGAACAGTACAAGAACGACTGGATTCAGCAATGACACGTTCTACAACAGTTGACCGCATCATTCTTTGTGTGTTCTTTGCTTGCCTGCAGGCACCCCAAGCTGCACTCGTTCTTCTTGCATAGCGGGTTGTCCGAGGCTCCATCAACCATGATTCAACAACAACCACAACAGCAACAGGTATGCGGCGTAGCCATGACCTTCGTCGGTTCCGTACTGCTCGGTCTGGCTATCGTGGCGTTCGTTGCAGGAGTGGCGACGGCAATCCCGGCTCTGATTGGCCTCGGTATCACGCTGGGTATCTTCGCCGTGGCAATCATGGTCAGCGGATGTGTTGTACGTAACAGGAGACAACGGATAATAGCCGCAACTCCTCAGATACAAGTCGCCACCGTGCACACGCAACCCACTGCGGCTGCTGGCTATGCGCCGGGTGTTGGCGTGGTGATCGCAAGCGACGCAGTCGGGCCGTATCCACGACAACCGGGTGGCGCTGTCGCCCTCCAACCCGTGCCCGTCGTCGCCCATCCCGTCGTGGCGTACCCCGCTGCTGCTGCCTCTGCACCTTCTGCTATGGCAAACGCTGGTGCCGCGGCCACAGCAGCACCTGCTGCAGCTGACGACGGCTATGCTAAGCAGGAGATGCATGTTTACCCGGGACAGGGCGGGCAGCAACCGGCCACGCAGTCGTCGGCAGCTCCCTATCCTGACAGCGAGCTACCGTCCTACGATGCTGCAACGCGCTAATCATCGCCATGCACACAGCCTACACTAGTACTATACTGATGCTGATCATGTACATGCTGGTCAAGTCTGTTGCAATGCCGATTGAAAAGCAGATATCGCCAGCGGCAACACGCCACCGGCTATGCGCAGCACCAAAGTTTGTTGCGACCGACACAGTCTATAAGTAAGCTAACATTAAAAAGAACTAATTGAAATGATCATTGTCATCATATTAACTTTATTGCGACCCCTACAATAATTGAGACATGCCACTCACAAGCCACATTCAGAAACTTTTCCAAAAAAAACAGTAATATAATGTAATTGTCTCTATGCATCTTAGATGTTGTCTTTACTGTTGGTGATTATTGAACATGGCTACAACAGTTTTCTCACCCCGGTTTATCTCTATGTTCCTGGGTCGGCATCAGAGCTACAACCCGACATTCGGCAGAATACGATGTCCAGAGACAAAAAAATAACTGGTATAGAAAGAAAATGTTATGCATTCATAGTGAAATGGACGATCCTTTTGATTTGTTATGAAATTGACTTTGATATGAACGAAAAAAAGAAGCTTGGTTGTACACGTACATTCATGTGAGTGAGTGCATGCGAGGAGAGTGCTATCATGAAATTACCCGCTGCCTGATACTTTGCAGTTTTTATCCGTCTAATGCCTGCATAGCGAGGTTCAGTGGTGCGAGTGGAATTATCCCAGGTGGCTGTCTCCAGCTTCACTCTCTGCTCGTCAGTGTGTGGGTATGCATGCGTTTGTGTTTGTGTGTTTGTGTGTGTGTGTGTGTGTGTGTGTGTGTGTGTGTGTGTGTGTTCCTTTCTTTTCTCTGTGTGTATGTTGTGTATGTTTGTGACTCGCTATGTAGGTGTGCGCGTGGGGGGGGGGGGCATCTGTCTATGTGCATGTGTGTGCACGAGCGCGTGCCTGTTGAATATGCATAGCTCATCCCTTGAGCAGCACTCTGGAGTGCGCTGGCCTGGTGCCCCCCCCCCCCTCCCTCCCCCATTGTGTTCATCGTGCAGTGGCTTCATTAGGGGAAGTCACAATATGGTATGGCTAGCAAAGTCTTCGTTACCTTCTCGTGGTGATCTCTTGTGCAGACTGTGTGCATGGGTGTGTGGGTGTGGATGCGTGCGTGCATGTGCGGGGTACTTGGGCGCGTATGCGTGTGGCTTCAATCAGCTTGTTGGCGTAGACCAGGCTAAGCTTTGTAGGGGTCAAATTATCAGCCTTGCAAGTTGTTGAATGGTGTATTCCCGGCACGAGTTATGTCTAACGTAGATTTTCGCTATCACCGCTGGCGTATTGGGCAGGTGTACGTAAGTGTGTGTGTGTGTGTGTGTGTGTGTGTTTGTGTGTGTGTGTGTGTTTGTGCGTCCCATATGGTGCAGTGGTATGTGAAGCGATTTCCAATCGATAGGTTGCGGGTTCGATTCCCGACGATTATGGTCACACACGTCGTACTTTCAATCTGGGAGACTGCAAAATCCGCACTATGTACGAGGTAATATTATCCACGACAGCTAGAGTACTGTCAGTCACCAATTAACTGGGGGGGGGGGGGGGGGGGAGATCAGCCTCCTAGCCTAGACTGCTCTTATTTTCATGAATTGCGGTCTGTGCACAGTTGAATAACCGGTATGCTGTGCTAGATGAAATTCTAGCATGGCCGTTCTTGGGCGTTCCGTTCTTCGGCACTCCGTTGTCCACCGCCCGACAGCACTGTAGTAGCACACATGATGATCGTGTAGCTGTTGCACATACAGAACTATTGCTGTTGCAACACGTACGGACTGTGTTGGCTGATTGTTGCTTAAAACCTATGCACGCACTTGCATGCCGACCGACCCGCCTCCTACCCCCCCCCCCCCCCCCCAACACACACACACACTAGGCCACAGTCACACATGCACACCCACACGCGTGCACGCATACGTTACCAAACAGACGCATGATTGTACCCTGTATGAGACCAAAACACAGGGGAAGAGCCCTGTCAAAACTATGCTGAAACTTGACTGCAGAATAGTGCCATTTACTGTTGGCCAAAGGCATGACACACGGATTGAAAGCAGGCTTTAGTGATGCAAATGAGAAAACACATACTTGTACATGTACAAAATTCATTACTGCTAACGGCACAGACATTACTACTTTTCTATGCTGCTTTTTTGGTTTCTGGACGTCAAATGGCCTTTACAATCATTTGCATGCAAATAATGTTGCTGGTTGGCCGAATGGATTGTAACTTGTTTCACGACATGGTTGCTGTTGGTAACAAAGTCCTGTACCTCCATTGCCTTGGAGTTTTAATCAGTCAGCATTGAAACTTATTGCGCGTAGGAATCATACGAAGGAGGATCCTGCGCTGGATATCCGGCCGGGTAGTGCGAGCTGTCATAACCTTCTTGTGGGGGATAATGTTCCCCTACCGGTGCTGAAGGGTGAATGGGCACGGTAGGTGGCTGACGATCTCCATCCAGATTTGGCGGGTAAGCTCCAACGTGTTGATCCACTGCGTAGGGCTCTGGCTGCCCCATGGCAACCGGATGGGGCTGCGCCATGGGAACCGGCTGGGGCTGCATTGCGACGGGCTGTGCAACTACAGGTGCCGCATAAGGCTGAGGTGCGGCAACTACCTGCGGGGTGGCCGTGGCAATGGTGGCACCGGGTGTCATCACCACCGACGATTGGCCGCCGCCGGGCTGTGATTGGACGGTGGTGACGGACACATGCGGACCGGCCGAGCGCATGTTGTAGTAGGAATTATGTCGAACTCTGCAGCCCACTAACGACACCACGACACCCGCGATCCCCACAAGAACACCTACGCTTATCATGTAGGTCAAATCGGTGGCGATGCCGATTGAAAAGAAGATAACTCCAGCGAGCACGCTCACACCGCCGACTATCCACAGGACCAAAGTTTGCTGGGGCTGTTGAACCATGTCTGCTGCACTGGCCGATGCCTCTGCTCAATGGCTGCTGTGCTTCTGTCCCTTCACGTGGTCAAGCCAACACGAATAGTGTACTGTATAAGCGATGCCTGTGCCCTGTGAAACACGAACACATAAATTGTAGATTTTAATGATGAGCAACACACAAGGATTTTCCGTCCTAGGGTTAGTTTTGGCAAAATGTTGTGACATCATGATGACGTCATAATGACGTCTTAATATGCCCATCCATGTTACGTCACAGACTTTGTATGGGAATACATGTAGATGGTGGACAGTACAGTACGTTGATTGGGTGTTTGAAGAATTGAGTTGAGACTTATCTGTATAAATGAGAAAACTCCGCTTCACTTAACTTTCAAATATTTTTTACTTTTGTTGGCTAGCTAGGAGGATTGGATGTGGTGGAACAATGGACCAAGGTGGAAAGACATTGACAGTGACTAGATCATGTGGTATGGGTGTTGTGACTGAGTAGACAGCAGATACGCGGGTGTTCTAGAAAAAAATAACAAATTACAGTGTGCTGGTCGCGGTTTCTGTTTCTCAAAATGTATCCAGTATAATTTACAATGTATCTTTTACATTTTTCACAAAGGAATTCTTCTTTTCAGGATTTTTCTATTTAAATTTTGATCATGTTCATATTGAAAGTTGGTGTTTCAAATTCCACAGTACTGCACTCTACACTCTAGGACCGACCTCATCCCAATGTAATTAACTCTTCCACATACATGTAGGCTTTCACCAAGTCAGCCGGCCGAAAAAATTCCCCGAAAACGAGACTTATCGAAAAATCGCTAAGCTTTTCGCCGATTTTGGAGGGTTCCTTTGAGAATCGGCGAAAATCTGCCAAATGTTGCAAAGCGCGTTTACGAACGAATGATGTTGCTGCAAGCATGACCGCTCGAGCTCTCTACTTCAGTACTTGCACAAAACTTGTAGTAGTAGTAGTAGTAGTAGTGGGTTGGGGTCGAGTGACTCGTGTCCTTTGACCTCCTCTCAAACAAACATTGGCCATTAGGAAGATCGTTACTGGTAGAATCCCCAAATCGGCCGCCCGAAAAATTCGCCGAAAATGAGACTTATCGAAAAATCGCGAAGCTTTTCGCCGATTTTGGAGGTTTTCTTTGAGAATCGCCGAAAATCTACCAAATCTTCCGATATCTCACCAATCTTGAAGCCAATATGCCAACAACTCATTTAGCCGATTTCCGATAATTGTAATTCCTATTTTACAGCCAATTTTATAACAATCAGCTAATTTTGCTGGACGAAATGACGCTTTTAGCGACATTTTGCATACAAGTCCCCATTTAGAAAAACCTTGATTTTGTTCAAACATGTTGTTACTTGATTGCATGTAACAAGGTGGAGGACACCGTGTTCGGAAACTATAAAAACCTCTCCTAGAATAAAGAGGATCAGAAAAGGGTCTAAGACCCATACGGTTCAGATGGTCTCAACAGACCAGGGCTCTACCAACCGTGGATGGTTGTAGAACACGGCGTTCTCCATCTTGTTCCATGTTGCCCATCAACAACAAGTCCCCATCTAGTGGGGCGCAGTCACCCAGTTTCGGTGGAAGTGGCGAGTTCGATTGGGAATAAAGAAGGAAGGAAGCGTCGTAGGTTCCTCGGGCCAAGACCATTGGACTCAGCACCCCGAACACTACAACTGGTGAAAATTTGATTTTAGGCTCAACTTCTCCTTTCAATGGTTGACTGTATGTTCCACTATACATCTACATGACTGTACTGAGCCTTTTCTGTACTTCAAGTTCAACCGAGTAACAAGCTGTCACCATAACCTTTATCACACTATGTTTATTTTTTACCGTAAAAGAGGCCTGTGTTTCAGTGAAAAAAAGGAAGAAAAAAAGCTAGCACCACAAGAAACAGCCCCTATGCCTACCCGGCACCCGTACCGCCACCGGCATATATTTATGTATAAATAAAATGGTCATCCTGGTTTATTTACCGAAACATAAAGCGCTCTGCAATACCTTGGCGTTGTACGTTTAGAGCCGCTGGATTGACGCCTACAAAGTGAAGAGAATCCTGTCGCTTGTAAGACGCGGAGCTAGAACTTTGCAAGGTAATCGCCTCCACAGGATCCAGTATTCTTTGCTGCAGCGACTACGCACTGATGGCGTAGAAGGATAATCGCACCACTTCTCTCAGTGGTAATAAATCACTAGGCGCGTTCTCGAGACTCTCTCATTGGACGTAAACGCACTGGAAAGCATAATCTTGATACTCCGCTTTCTGTCTTCAACGCCAAACCGGGTTCGAAAGACTGCCTGTAGCGGTTGTAGTAGCAGTGCAGGGGTGGAGAACTAATGAGAACTCACATACTTGTAGGCGCCGTCCGCAACTTGATCAACTAACGGTAGTTGCTACTTCAACAGCTAAGACGAACTGCTTATGCAGCAGCCCTCTCTGATCTGGGATTTAGACCGGTGACAATTCTGAAGTGGGAAGACACCCTCTGTTTACAGCCAGTCTGAAGTTTTCTGTGCGAATGCTGAACCGGCAACGGGCGCTGTACTAAGATTCCACCATGAGCCACTTTGTGTCATTCCGGAAGATCATCTGACTAGTATCGCGAATAGTTACTGCACTTGACTTCCAAGGGCCTGAAACATTCCCCAATCTTTCCAAAATGTGATCTTCTTCTCTAGGATTCAGACACATGGGTAGATTGGAGCTTTCAAAGGAAGAAATCTTTAGGCACTCTGTTGGAAAAGGAGAGAGATTAGATAGCGAGACGGACAGAAGGAGTGGTGTGTAGGCTTTCCCCAAAATAGGGTCAAGCGGATAATGCTTCGAAACTGTTTGGTTAATGCTAATCATAATGCTCCAAACACTACCTTGTAATGCTGATTATAATGCTTCACAAAGGGCTATAATGCTCTTGGTTTGGAACAAGAAGGGAAGAAAGGCTGCACATTGTCAAACTTCCAGGAAAGGAAGCATTTAGTCGATCTGCCTCTGAAGCTGCTACAATATCTCTCACGACCTCCACCACTTCTTAGCACTATAAGACATGATCGCGTGTCCATTGGCTGCTCTCCATTGCAACTTAGAAGCAGGGCTGTGGCTGCATAGTGGTTGCATCAATTGAATTCCCTTGCTTATCCATGTAGTGAGACGTGAAACCATCATGGCTGGTGATCATTTGGATGCTGGAAGCATATCATGGGAAGTGGTATTCCTGCCTGCAGACAAGCTGTTCTACTCTGTGAAAAATTCTTCATCTGAAACAGCTCACGTGAGGCAAGTCGAGAGACTATCTCAGATCGAGATCCCTCCCATTTGCGGAAATTCTGAAAACACGTGGTCAGAAGTAATTTTGCCGCTCTACATTTCTCTGCTTCCGCTGTCCTCTTCTCCTGAGGTTGCGTGGAGACAAATGGTTGGCCACAATACTCTTCTTTTCGGATAGCACTTGACTGTATTCCTTGCATTTCAATCGTCCACGACGAACTGTACGTGCTTCACCAGGAATGTAAGACACGCCCTCCTGAACACTCAAATCGACTTGGTACTGCGTCCGTGAGAAATTCTAGTTATTTTCGAACCTGCTGAGCTGGACTCGGCAAATGCAGAACAAGCTCTTTCTGTTTATAGTCGCTCCTTCATCCAGGTACTATGTCCAAATTTATCAATAGATCAGTGTTTTCTTCAGTATCGCTAGAGATGCTATTGCCAGAGCATATGGCATAACAGGAAAACTCCTCTTCGTCTCTTTTTTTTTAATTTTTTTAATTACTAAAAGCCATGTGGTGAACGAAATGGGAACATGCAGCAGCCATGGTGGTGGGGGCCAGGCGCTCCGTCGACCAACGTTACTGGTCTCGACATCGTCACGCTCTGAAGTATGAGGGAAAGAGAAAGAACAGGGGGAGCGGGAGGGGGGGGGAGTGTAGATTGAGAAAGAGAGAGTACATAATTATACATGTACATAATAGTACATGTATATGAGAGCGTGTAGTTCAGCAAGTTCATGTAGTAAGGCGTCGGTTGCTTGCATCCAGTTGCTGGACAACAGGTGATGGTGGACCATATTCTTGAACTGCAGCATCCCGTCCTTGTATGGCTGCTGTGCGAGGATTCTCCGAGGCAGTTCTATGCGCTCAGAACGCAAGGAGGGAAAGCCTTGGCCATAGTTGAGCGGGGACGGCTTTGATATTCACTTCGCGTAGAGGTCTACGTCTAGTCTCCTCCACGGCTCTCCATGATTTCTAAAAAAGAACTCCTCGTAAATCATCGTTACGGATTTTGTGTAACAGCCTCAGTTGCAACGTTGGGCATGCTACATCACCTAAACATTTACCTGACTACATTGCTACATAAAGATTTTATGTAGCAATGGCATTACATTAGGTAGTCACGTAAATGTAGCATTAGTGCTAAAGGTGTTCCGTGTGTCTACAAAATTTGTAGACACGTTATATAATCACAAAGTCATCATGTCATCAGTCATCATAGTCCTGTGACGGTTCAATACATGGCGTTGCACCTCATAGTGTTAGCCGAATGTTGCCAAAACCTGATATTTCCCGACATTATCCACTATGAAGCTCGTTATGCCGCTCAAACCCCACACAATGCTCGTCCTGTTCCTTTCTAATGCTCCATAAATGCTCTGATGCTCGGCTACTTCCCCTTGTCTAACCCCCAAGACGAAAATTAATGATAGTAGCAGACTGGCGGAAATTTAAAAAAAAAAATGCTCGGATAGTCTCATAATGCCGAATATAACGCCGGCACTATCCGCTGGACCCTATCCCCAAATCGTCCCGGGTTTTTGCGCCTGTTCGGTTTTTCGCTACCTTCAAGTGGTCATTGGTGGCCAGACATCCTCAAGCCAAGGCTCCTAGACGTGCCCGGTCGCATCCAAGCCTACAATGCTGTTGTGCGCCCAGTGATGGGGTACTATTGTCCTATTGTTGTGGGTATTATTGTCTGGATGGGAGCTGCCCCATCCCATCATGCAAGACTCAACCGTGTGCAAGCCCATCCGTGCCATCGCCCCAATGTTGTTGGCTGCCGAGTCTTGCTCTTCATCGGAAGGTTGCAGCACTTTGCCTCCTATACAAGATCCATTGTCCGGATGCACATCCCCTTCTACAGAAGATGCTGCCACCCAAGCAGCCCCAATACCGAACAGTCCACTCCACCCGTCGTACATTCCTGAGATGCTATGCTCACGAACACAAACTGGCCAATGAACTTCCAGTTCGTTCCCGAAACAACCTGTGTCGAGACTACCCTCACGCAGTTGTCCCCGTCTGGAACCAGCTGCCCGCTGGAGTTTTCTCTGGTCCATTCTGCACCAAGAACTAGCAACACTTCAAAGTAGTCGCAGCCAACCGCAATTTGAAGACCAACGACTGGTCGTGGGCACATGACCATCTCTGATTATCAGCATCATATCTGCCTCACGCCATGACTTCCTTTTTCCGCTCCACATACTTTTCCCAATAAGGTCTGTTCTTCTTTTTCTCTCCTTCTCCTCCTAGCACTGTCTGTCTTATCCTTCCCCTCCTTCTAATGTACTGTCTCTCCTCCTAATATTTCGTATCATGCACCTGCCACTCCTTTCATTTTTCTTCTTTTTTTGGTGCGTTTTATGTCCCCATGACGTCGAGACCTCAGGTCAGCTGAGGGCAAAAAGCCTCACCATCACTATGCTCCCACTATGCAATTTTTTGGTCTTTGCCTGTGCGCTGTGATCATTGTAAAAAAAAAAAAAAAAAAAACGTGGAAGATGGAAGAGCTTAGCGTAGTGTATACATGAGCACGAAGAAGGGCATGCCACCTCAAACATGTACAGTTACATGTACATGTACACGTACGAATGGTAATATAACCTACTATTAGTAGTTCAAAACTAGTATTAGATGAACCTCGTAATAGTTCACACATATTGCTAGATTGACAGCATGGACCTAGGTGGAGGACACCGTGTTCAGAAACAGTGACCTTACTACAATCTTCCAGTAGTAAGGTCACTGTTTCCGAACACACTGTCCTCCACCTTGTTTCATGCCGTCAGTCTAACAACATGTACGTACAATGTATGTACCAGACCAACATGATGCAAAAAGTGATCCACTGTGGTGAATGGGGCCGCCGGATAATTAACCAGCCCGAAGCTGGCGGAAATAACTCCAGTACCCCGGCGGAGGCACATCCCCGAAGAAAAACCGGTTAGAATGTCCCCATCAGACAAATGAAGAAAAAACGTAGCCTGCAGGACCTATCCAGAAGTGAGAATAAAGGGGAGGGCGGGTGGGAAACTACAACGAAAAGAGAAAGACAATGATAAAGAGAAAAGTAATAGTTTGAGAACACAGCCAAAAACCAGCTGACGCAATCCTGGTGCCATAACTATGGTGAAAATGCTAGCAAAAAACATATTTTTCGTTTCATTCGCTACGCTCAGCCAATGAATAATAACACTTTTTGCCAGCTAGCTGGCCTCTGCGTACACTGCTGACACACCCACACACAACAGAAAGATACTGATCAGAGTAGTACTAGTAGTGACTAGTGACAAGTAGTGTGGTATTTGTTTACTCACGACGGAAAGGATAGCTGACCCGGTAGCGCGAGACATCGACAGCATGTCCTTGAGGGAATCCTCCATATGCATGTACATGTTCTTACATGTGGATGACTTTGAACAATTTTAATTTTCCGCAATCACATTTTGTTAATTACTTACTTTTTAGACGGAGTCCAAGGCAGTTTGGAAAGCAATTTTATAAATTTTCTATAGGGGAAGCACCCAGGACTAGAACACAATAACTTTTTTTTTAAAGCTGCCATAAAGCAGATTTAATCCCACACTTCTCACGCTACAATCCTCCACAACAGTTTCCACATGTCTCTCCACCTTCGATAAGCTTGACGCCTTCCATGCCCAGAGCAAAGTCCCTTCCAACTGTAATACATTAATAACATTATACATGTACAATTGTACATATTATAATGAGACTTCGGGTATAACAACACTTCGCGAATAAGGACACTTTTTTGATGCCCCGCCGAGTGTCGTTAGTATAAGCGAAGTTGACTGTATTTCAATCGCATGACACGTACACGTACATGTACATGTAGTACTGTACCTCACTCCCGGGCCCGAGGCCAGACATTGCTCAATATAAAATTAATAGTAGCTGTGTTAGTAGAATTTTCTATTCTCATTCCTACCAAGGAGTTCCTTTGAAAAGGTCAAGAAATTTCCTTCGAGGTAGTTGCCTGTGAAGAGACAAGATGTCTTCCGCAGTTGGACATCTCCACGTTCACCCTAGGATTAACTCCACTTGATACGAGTTGACGTAACACAAGTTTGTTTTTTCTTTAAATTTATGAGGGTATGCACGTAACTAACAAAACTACATGATCAAATTGAGGCACTTGTAGGTTTGCAGATGAAATATATTTTAGTTTTTTCAGCAATACAAGGTTTACGTAACAACATCAACAACATACATGTACATGTACATGTAGGACTACGAGTTAGTTCCCAGCGATACTGATGAAGGTAACCAACGTGTAGCAAAATAATTGCACGACTGACGTAGGGAGAAGTCTAAAACTCCCCTAGCATAATGAGAGTCAGAACCGGGTTCAACACCGATATGGTTCAAATGGTCCGCAGGGATCGGGGCTTTGTCAACCGCGGAAGGTTGTAGTAAGGTCACTGTTTCCGAACACAGACAGTCAGTGTCCTCCACCTTGTTCCATGCTGTCAAACTACACAAGAGAGAGATTGGACGCTTTGTTACAACTGTTTCACGTATATGTACATTGTACATGTACATGTATTACATGACATTGCACTACGATCATCAGACAACAGTTTTGGGTTGTTACATACACTCATGTATAATAGTGATTACCAGCCTGTACATGCGTATCAGGCTAGCGCGCTGGTCGCATCGGATCAACAATGACTATGTCATGTGCACAGCACACAGCGGCCTGGGCCGCGCGTGCACACTGTACTGCAGTACTACTGAAGCCCACTGACTGAGGGCGCGGGCCCCGGTCAATCCACTGGATTTCTATGTCCACCACATGCACATAGTGCACACTCGAGTACTGTACTTGTCGACAGTATTTTACCGGTACTTGGACCATGTATGATGATGTAACCGTCGATCGGTCACTAGCGCGCGTGTACCAGTGCACTGGTACACGGTAGTTTACTGTAAAACGACAAACTTTCGCGAGCGATTTACTTTCGCGACTTTCGCGAGCAGAGCCGAATCGCGAAAGTTTGACACGCGAATAAGAAATTATTTGTACAATCATGTACTACGCGATGCGTCGATGATCGATCGTGCACTGTCTGTACATGCACTGCACAGACTCGGGACTAGCGCTGATCGATGCTTGCACGGCTAAAGTCCAAAGCGCGCAGCTAGCTGTTGAAAGTTACGTACCAACACTAGTCTTCCAAGTAACTAGTTGTCGTTGGAGTACGGCGACTTGAACAGAATTGTAGAAGAGAATAAAACGATCGACTGGAGAATGTCTCAGTGTTGTGGAGAGTGTTTGGCCAGCTTGCTGTTGCGTAGATTTTAGTGTTGTACTGCGCGAAGAAGTCTTCTGAAGTTTATCGCCATTAGTATCGCAGTGGCTCAGCAGTTCGAAGAGAAAGCCTTCCGATGATCCCTCTTCGAAAACGCCATCCTTTCTTGCAGTACTAGTACTCACCTTATGATTATCTTTGATTCCTTGATTCATTCTTTGATTTCTTCTCTCATTCTTCGTGCGCTCTGCGTCCCAGCACTCCAAGACTTCGTAAAATAACATTCTTGAAGATTTTCAGTGGAAGGTAAAATCGCTAAAATTAATCGCCGCTAACTGGTCCAGTTTGCCAAAACGCTAAATTTAGCCGCCGCGAAAGTTTGTCGTTTTACAGTACGCAAATCTACTGACCGGTGGTGTAGTGTTTACAGTCAGTCTGATTTCACCTCTGCGACTACGGCTCTAGTGCTCTACTACTGTACTAGTACTACTACTACTGACTCGAGTACTGCACTAGTAATAGATGGCCAGCTGAACTATGACAGTACATGTATGAGGTACTCTATCTACAATCATGATTGTTTGCATGCAGTCTACTCTGATCTGACTCTAGCAACAAAAACGCGTAGGGACCACTTGTATGCACCCACTTGTATCATGTGTATTGTCTCATAAACAATCAAGGCTCGCAGCTACAGCCCACAGTTACGACAACATGTATAAATAATTATTACTTACACTTACATCAGCGCTTTAGCCGAGCGGTTGTGGGCTTGCCAGCGAATCACAAGGTCCCGAGTTCGAGACCCGCGCTAGCGCTGGGAGCAGGGAGCGTGTACTGTGCTAGCAAATGCGATGATGCATGCGTGAACCACTTAAATCGTCTTTACATGCAGTGAACTGCGCCGACACCCACGGTCATCTGGGTACTCACTACTCGGAGTGAGGGTAACATGTCGGGCATTGGTTGTGAGACTTACCACCTCACCCTCGCCGTTAGGCGCTGCATCTGCCACCCTGGTAGCACAGGCATGGTGGTGGCCTGGCACATGCGAAACTATTACTATTAGTATTACTTCCTAAGCTGGCTGTGTTTCTCAACGCAATTGTATAGCCGGTGGTGGTGACGCGGCCGGACGTGCAAACTATTACTTTACACTTACAGTACAACTATGACGTACAAGTGCAAGTAGTCCTTTGCTGACACTGCACTGAGACATGATGTAGAGTACTAGCATGGTATACCTGGTATACTAGTAGTAGTAGTAAGGCAGAGCTACATGTAGCTGTACAGCTTTCCAACAGCCAGTAGACTCTTTGCAACGCAGCCGGTCAGATCAGTTTTTCTTCGTCCTAGATTATTGTGTAGCTACCCGATACCACCAGTAACTGTTATAAGTTTTCATTCCTCTCAGCTAGGTAAGAGTGCAGTATGTCGACAGATTAGAATCTCTATATTCAGTTCAATTTGTGCTTATTGCAAATTTGTTGATTCCTTTTTTTTCAAAACAGTGGTAGCGACATTCTTTGGATGCTTCTTTCTTCGTGACAGCTTGCTCTTTCCCGGCCGCCATGACTTCTCACAAGACTGACGCGAAACTGCCATCCAATGCACACGACAAGTCCAAGGATACCCGATGGCCGAATCCTACCGGGAATCCGCCTACTAATTGGTCAAGGGGGGTTAGGCAGTGGAAAAACCCGAAGTACAGGGGTGAGTAAAAGAGTTTTCTTTTTGATTGTAGTCTTCTTCTGTCGTTTTTCTGCATTTTTCTTCTTTTTTCTCCTGATTATATGAAAATTCGTATAGGTCTGGCACCACTGTGTAATTAATGGAACAGAAAGAGTAAAAAAGCTCCGATATTATCTTAGTATTACTCTTGGTTATAGTCATCGTGAGGTAAGCCGATCAAAATGATTTTACAATATACTCAAACTAGTCAAGACAATACAAATAATTATTATAATTATTATAAACACACGGCGAGGAGACAGTTATTTGATAAGCGCAATCACTAAAATTAGCTGAACCGACATTTGTGTTATTTCTCTAACTTAGATTTCCTATAATAGTTCAATTTTTGTTTCAGTGTCCTTTAGTACAACGACGATTCCTGATGAGTGTTGTACGAAAACTTGTTTGAATCCATAATTTGTTCTCTTCACCATTTCAATATAGCTATGAATAGGATGAAGGCCGCAGACATCACGCAACTACGTTACTTGTTCGACATGTATTTACTGTGTATTGTATAACAAAAATATTATTGAAAACCCATAATCGATTTTCTTGTTCCTATCATCAGTGGGAAAAATACGGAACTAAGGATACAACCAAAGAAAATGAAGTTAAGTACTGTAAATAGAAATGTGTTAGAAATAACAACAAAATACAAGTGCAATAAAACCACTAGAGGAAACGCAAAAAGGTAACAAGATTACGTAACCAAAGGCGAGAAGGCGCTAAACGAAGTGTCAACCTACGAATACAACTTCAGTGCAACAACGTGCTCCTTCTGCTTACACAAAACAGGCTTATGAATACGTATACACACTGCCTCAAGGACTTTCAACTGTTGGACATAACGCGCACGACACAGTACAGAAAAATGAGAGTCATCATACACACTAGGACAGTCAGGACGAGATAACAAGTGTAGATACACAGCTGACTTCTTACAATCAACACATTCATCCGCCTCATCTCGCTCCTTCCCACCCGACTCCTCCTCGTCCATCTCATCATTCTCTTCCTCGTTCCGCTCGTCATCCTCACGATCATCATCACTACCATCATCTGCCTCGTCCTCTGTCTCCTCACCAACCGTTTCGTCATCCAATTGCTCTTCTTGCTCTTCTATCCTCTGATCACCTGTCTCATCCTCCGTTTCTGTACAGACCAGTTGTCTCCCATTTGCTAGCTGCTCGTCCCGTGAGCGGAGTTGTTCCTCCAGCTCCGCTTCACTCACTGACTCATGATCCTGTGCCAGTGGTACAACACAAAATGCGGTACCGTATGAGAGGGCTAGGCTGCCCAAGTAATTAGTTACCAACTCCAGCAGCACCACCGTTGCCCTTGCCACCACCAGAACCGCCACCGGCTCTTCTTGTGGCGGGGGCTGCAGTGGACCCACCTACACCCGCGCTGGCATCACCAACTCTCACACGAATTGCCACGGCTCCCACATTAATCCAGAGACCTCGGAGGGCAACAGCAAACTACTCCACAGATATTTATGCCAGAAACGGCCAAGGACCGCGCGTTTTGGACAATACCAACAGAAAGAAGGTCGAGCAGGATCATGAGTCAGTGAGTGAAGCGGAGCTGGAGGAACAACTCCGCTCACGGGACGAGCAGCTAGCAAATGGGAGACAAGTGGTCTGTACAGAAACGGAGGATGAGACAGGTGATCAGAGGATAGAAGAGCAATTGGATGACGAAACGGTTGGTGAGGAGACAGAGGACGAGGCAGATGATGGTAGTGATGATGATCGTGAGGATGACGAGCGGAACGAGGAAGAGGGTGATGAGATGGACGAGGAGGAGTCGGGTGGGAAGGAGCGAGATGAGGCGGATGAATGTGTTGATCGTAAGAAGTCAGCTGTGTATCTACACTTGTTATCTCGTCCTGACTGTCTTAGTGTGTATGATGACTCTCATTTTTCTGTACTGTGTCGTGCGCGTTATGTCCAACAGTTGAAAGTCCTTGAGGCAGTCTGTATACGTATTCATAAGCCTGTTTTGTGTAAGCAGAAGGAGCACGTTGTTGCACTGAAGTTGTATTCATAGGTTGACACTTCGTTTAGCGCCTTCTCGCCTTTGGTTACGTAATCTTGTTACCTTTTTGCGTTTCCTCTAGTGGTTTTATTGCACTTGTATTTTGTTAGAAATGGTTTGCTCCCCACACCGGAGCTCGCGCTATTCTGCCGACTTTACTTGACACTTGACTGACTCACGACTGCCATCCAGAGCACACGAGAAGTCCATCGAACCATCGACTCGGCAAACCTGCAAGAAAGCGAGCTCCGGTGTGGGGAGCAAACCATTTCTTACAAATCATCGCCGAAGTCGCTCCCACTACTTTGTATGTTGTTGTTATTTCTAACACATTTCTATTTACAGTACTTAACTTCAGTTTCTTTGGTTGTATCCTTAGTTCCGTATTTTTCCCACTGATGATAGGAACAAGAAAATCGATTATGGGATTTCAATAATATTTTTATAAAATACACAGTAAATACATGTCGAACAAGTAACGTAGTTGCGTGATGTCTGCGGCCTTCATCCTATTCATAGCTATATTGAAATTATTATCTCCACGTAGATTCTTCACCATTTCTTCATATTTTCATCGTTATATTGCACATCGTCTCCACCGTTTTTACATTGCATGAATAAAGTACACAAATGTCGGTTCAGCTAATTTTATTGAGAGCGGTTATATAATAATTATTGAAGTTGATTGTTCCAACTAGGACCACACGCTTCTTGCCGAACTTGACACTTGACTGACTCAGGACCGCCATCCGGAGCACACGAGGAGCACGTCGCACCTTCCACTCGGCAAACCTGCAAGAAAGCACCACTCCCTGCTCAATACACAGTGTTTCGGGGAATTCACCCCTCATCAGTTGAGCTTGAGTAGGGGTAGTTTGTATCCCTGGTGATGGTTTGGCCTGGAGAGCAGTATATAAGTGGTGCTTTTCAGGCACAATCTTCCTCAGCCTACTCAAGCTCAACTGATGAGGGGTGAATTCCCCGAAACACTGTGTATTGAGCAGGGAGTGGTGCTTTCTTGCAGGTTTGCCGAGTGGAAGGTGCGACGTGCTCCTCGTGTGCTCCGGATGGCGGTCGTGAGTCAGTCAAGTGTCAAGTTCGGCAAGAAGCGTGTGTTCCTAGTTGGAACAATCAACTTCATGACTATTACCGCCGAAGTCGCAACTTCTAAGTTTATAATAATTATTATACTTTTAATTTGTGAGTTTGTGTGTTAGGTTCTGTGTGCATAAATTTGTGTTTATTTTGGTCGCATGCAGTTAGTCACGAAGAGCAAGTATCGGAAAACAAGCCCTGCAGGCCAACTGTGGCCATGGATGGCCATGGATCAGAAGCGAATGGACTGGAAGCTGTTCATTTTGATGTGTGGCAAGACATCTTGTTGACAATGTTGTCTATTGAAGACGTCTTTCAGCTGTGTGCTGTCAGCAAATCCATGCAAGAGTTGCTTCTCAATGAGTACACGTTCAGAAGGCTATGTATGGTGAGTAATAATGCAAGATTCGTGTGTGTGTGTGTGTGTGTGTGTGTGTGTGTCCAACCTGTTGGAAGGCTACCTTCTTGCCAAAGCATTTGGAAGTTGGACTAACGTTAGTTTCGGCTCCACAATCCAGTGTGTCGTTACATGTACTATAATTATAGCTTTCAAGGCTGAGGTTGTTGGTATGTCTGTTGGCTCTGGGTTCTCAGTACTCAGTAGCCGAGCCTGGTTGGTAAAGTAGCTCCAAATTTACTTCAAGGTACCAGTGAATCTAGTGTCTGCTTCTATCAAAGCAGCGTGATGTCTATATTGGTTACCCCAGGAAGTGTAGGGTGTGCATAGGTAACTGTCTTGGCCGTTTTATGATGTACTCCGTGTGGTGTAGACCAGTTGTGCATTGGTGGTCGATTCACATGACTTCGCCAGTTGTGTGGAATAGACAGATATCTGGCGCAAGTCTTGATCTGTCTCATTCAGATCTTGTTTGCTATCGTTGCTATAGGAGAAAATCTGTGGGTGCACATGCAGTGCATTTTCAGATTTGCGTGCTTCTCTTGCGACGGGCGTATACATGGTACATACATGGTACATGGTGTGTGTGTATACGTGTTGACCATGGACTGCTTCTGGCTAGATTAACTCTTGTGTTATCAATGGTGCTAGTGAAGCTTATAATTATAAGACCCACTCTGATTTAGCCACCCACACTAGTACCAAGTATTACCTTCACTAGGGGCAGGGGTACCTGCAGTTGGATCCCGGGACGGATACCCTGATGCCGTCAATCCTTTTTCTGCACCTTGTCCTCACCCACTTACTGAGGCGTGGTGAGCCCATAAGTGGGATCATTTCAAGTCCACCCTAGTTTGGGGTGTCGGCCGTTGGGTGGTTCAATGGCCAATTGAGTCATCTTTCCAAGATTCCTTTTGAGTCTCTCTCCCCTCTCCTGAGGAGACCCACGTGACCAGTTTTGACAGTGAGCAACAAGTACAAGTACAAGTACAAGTGTGTGTTGGTACAAGTCAACTTCGCCGATAATGACTGCGGATATCATGGCAGAATTTCCATGCAAGGGCAAAGTCCCACCATCCTGTACACATATGATAGGACGTCGGATATTCGGACACTTTTCTGATGCCATGCCGAGTGTCGTTACACCCAAAGTTGACTCGATGTATTTATGTACTCGTGGGTGTATGTATGAATTTTGCAATTTGGCTTCAATACTTGAATCAGTAATGTCGATTTGAAGTTCAGTTTCTCACCCAATCCTACCTCTTTCGGAAGCAGTTGCTTTCTACTTTTGGATGAGTCCTTATCTGCATAACGGAAGGTGTATATCTAGCATTCTTTTTGTTGCAATTCCCTACCTGCGCCACAAGTAAACATTTCTCCTTACACACTGATTACCGAGAGTTATCTATAACGTAGTTCGCTACTTGTTCAAATACGCAAACTTCAAAAACACACGAGAACTTTATAATAGCAATAAAGAGAACAAATTCTGCAGTCATCGCCACACTACAACGAAGTCATGAAAGTTTACCAGAATTAATGTTCTTGTCACATTCATCAGTGGAAAGACTTCGTTGTAGTGTGGCGATGACTGGAGAATTTGTTCTCTTTATTGCTATTATAAAATTGTTGTCTCCACGTCGATGAATTACACACGAGAACATTTAACATTAGATAACAGCATGTAAGGTACGTGATGTGTATACCATGAAATCGTAGTACTAATTTCAGGATCTTCAACAGCATTGTGAGTAACCTTTAGAGACTTCTCTTCTTGCGATAAACAGATAAGAGCACACAAGATCAAGAACCTTTGTTCTTGCCGTTTGTGCAATAACCATAAGAACCATTATTCTTGTTTTTTTATGGTGTTTTATTTCATTAAATGTTATTGATACCGCCCCAAAAAAGAATAAGTGGCTACATCTATAAACTATAATTTATACCAAAGAAAAGGACCAAGGAACTACAAGTTGCGCTATAATGTCCACTAACACCAGCAGTTACCAAACAATCAGCTCATGCGATAACACTACACGACACTGACCCACCGTACTGACGTTCTACAACTAACAGAGTTGTTAGCCAGTTAGTTGTAGAACGTCAGTACCGTCGGCCAGTGTCGTGCAATGACCACATGAGCTGATTGTTTTGTATTTGGAGGTGTTAGTGGACATTATAGCGTAACTTCTAGTTTCTTGGTTCTTTTCTTTTGTATAAATTAATCCTTGGCTCTCCATCCGAGTCCATTATAAACTATAAGCAACAGTATGGAATCAGCGGATTTAAGTAGTGTGTCGATGACGACCTACCTAGCAGACTAAGTGTGAATTTCACCTGTGGCCGTTTGTATTAGCCCGTGGCGGATTATGCTCGGTAAATTACCGAATTATGCTTTCCATTATCCCGTTAGTATAGCAGTGATTACGATACTATGCTGCGATCCAATCTATTGGTTTAGCGAACTCAGTAGAAACAGCCCTTGGCGGATTATGCTCGGTACATTGTTGAAGCTTTCCATGATGCCCAAATTATGCCAGTGATTATTCTACATTGTAGGGGCCTGGAATTATGCCAATTAAAAAAAACTAAAGGCCACTGATGGTGCTATTCTGTAGCCAAGTATTCTTGTTGCACTTTGCAACGTTACGACGACTCTGGCACCATGACAGCACGGCTTATAATGGGTAACATTCACCAGGTTATTTTCTTCAACATGCCTAAACATGCCTGGAGCATTAATCTTTAGCCAGCATTGTGAGGTTATGCCGACCCTCTGGTTTCAGAAGTCCTTTTATGCCAGGGCATACCTTTTAGTCAAAATCCGAAGATTTTGCCCGAATTTATACGAACATAATCCGCCAAGGGAAGGGATAGTTTGCATAGGTAATGTATCTCGGCGTGAATATAAACAGACTCCAAAACATTCCACAACTTAGCACTGCGTACACGTGACAATAATGATCGAGAAACAATTATCCAAATACACAGACGGACATTGAGGATTGTCCGACAAAATTATTACTTTACTGTACAGTTCTTGCACACGATTGCTCAGGCCTGTATATCACCTTATGAGAAGGCGCGACCGTTTGCTCATGAAACCCACTTCACGATGTTGTTGATGAATCTGACGTTTGTGGCATTATTCCGTGATGTACGAAAGGGTCTTGAGAATAGAGGGCATAGGTGACAGCCCTTGGCGTATTGTGCTGGCATAATCTTCGGATTTCGTCTCAAAACTATGCCCTGGCATGAATTGACTTCTAAGATCAGACGATCGGCAAAACCTTACAATGTTGGCTGAAGATTAATGCTTCAGGCATGTTAAAGAAAAGAAAATCGTTGCGACGGTGCAAAGTGCAACAAGAGTGCAAGGGTAGAGAATACCACCATCATTGACATAATTCTAGCATATTTTAGCATGTTCACTGGCAAAATTTAGGCAAACGGGAAAGCATCATTCAGCAATTTACAGAGAATAATCCGACAAGGGCTGTTTCTACTGAGTTCACCATACCATAGGATTGGATCCCAGGATAGTATCACACCATCATGGGCTTAATTCCAGTATAATGTAGCATACTCATTGGCATAATTTGGGCATAATGGAAACCGTAATTCAGCAATTTACCGTGCATAATCCGCCAAGGGATAATAGGTGATGGATGTCCAGCATTTCAAAAGCTCTAGGAAAAGGACTTGGCAAGATTGTCAGCTTGATTATAAGAGAAAATGGTGTTACATATCAACGACACTTACATGTATTTTAGTGAAAGTGTTGATTGTCTTCCTTTTTGTTTGTCCCGTGCCTGCAGCAACGCTATCAGCTCAGTCCACATTTAGACGTGTCATATATCGGAACTGCAAAAATCCTGTTTATCGCAGACAAAGTAGCCAGTATGTGTTGCCCCGAAGATGACGATTACTACCGCAACAATGAACGACTATTGGATTTTAAGGGTGATGCGATTGTACCATTGTTGAGCCTGGCGTTGAACCCACCCGACACTGTCGGTCTCACCCCGAGATGGACCAATGCTCATTTGCTTCATCCACTTGTAAAGGAGATTGACCTGGTCGAACACGACGCTTTGCATTACTTTCCTAGCATACCCGAGGGCATGCTCCTGGAAAGATGTACCCCTATCTACTCAAACCCCTCATTCCAAATTGAAGATATAACAACGTTGTTGCTCGAGATTTGTGGTTCGGTTGAACAGTACCAAGAGGCCATAATCAACAGTTTGCAAAAGGATATGCCAAGGCTGGAGTTTTACTTGCCCTATCTGAAACAATCTTCGAGGCGTGAAGAGCTTGCGAAAGCTCTTCACAGTTTGGGTAAGAGCGACACAAAAATATATTCAACCCTGGGCATGCCCAGCCCACGTGTCCCTGAGTACCGTACTTCTGCATGGGCAAATAATCCTTATGTAGATATAGCTTTTCCCTGGGGTTATCCTGAAACAGATCCAGTGCATATTGCCAATGAATGGCTCCAGGATTTTGCAAAGCTCGAAGTGCATCATTCCGTTTTGCGCCTCCTGATAACGGGAGACCTACGTACGTCTCAGGTGGACGATTACTTCACAGCTGTCGTAGAGTACGAAGATATACTAAGCCGTTTCCCAGAAAGTTACTATAGGCACTTGTCCCCCAGGTGTCAAGATGTATACGATGATCTGGGAGACTTTCTTCTTTCGTCCTCACAAGGGCAGGAATATCAGAAGGAATGGACGAAAATCGAATTGGTCGACGCCATGTTGCGATACACCATGGAACCGTATGACTAACTGCCAGTGGAAACACGCAGAGATGAGCTATCACGTGACCAGCTCAATTAGATTATGCACAGTACATCTGTAGTCTTTCCTCCTTAAGTTAAGTCCTGTCAATGTGGATCTACATCCGTCAACAATGGATGGTCCAGTATGGTTTAATGTTACTTATGGTGATGTGATTTAAAACGCGTTCAGAATTCAAGACCATTATACTGTTTACAAGCTCCCTAGTTTTAAGTAAGCTTAAAGACTTTTAACATTAAGCCTGTGTGTGTTTTCCCACTGACCCGCTATATTTTGTCATGAAATAAGATAAGTTGTATTTCTCGCTGCTCTCAGTCCTTGCTTCACTACTTCACCCGTTATCCAGTTCACATCTGACTTTGGCCAACTACTCTTCACTTTGTGAGTTTTTGCAAATGGTGTCTATGTCATTGTGTGTGCCAGGATATGAGGAGCTAGAATCATAATATTATATATTGGAAATAACAATTGGAGTAATTATGGGCACAGTCATTCTCGTGCATCTACACAAATCATGGAGGAATATTTTTTTGGCTGGAAGAACGTTTTCTTGTTAGAATCTTCAGCCAGATTGCACGACTGAGTGGTGAAGAAAGAAAATACCGGTATGGGTACCATGTGTTACGTGAAGGAACAAACTTGAAATAGCATGACCAATAGTGCTTAACATGGCACTGAAACTAGATTTTGTAAAATAAATGTGCCAGAAAAGTAAACGAGAGAGGGTGATATTTAATTTTTTCCTTTTCCTTTCTACATCAAATTTTATTATTGGCTCAACGCGAGTCAGCATCCAAGTATCCTTTTTCCTCTTCCCTGGACACATACACACTAATACACACACGCACACACAGACACGCACACACACCTATCTATGCCTGGTCGTAGGCCATGATTCCGAGACCTCCGGTCGGATAAGCCTCGCCAACCACATCGGCACACCGCCCCTACTCCCCTTTGTCTTGTTGTTGAGTGTCACTTCAGTTGTCCTCTTCCCCCGATTATTAGTAGGGCTGAGTTTGCTAGTAAAAAAGAAAAGAAAATAAAACACACACAGACACGCACACACACCTATCGATGCCTGGTCGTAGGCTATGATTCCGAGACCTCCGGTCGGATAAGCCCCGCCAACCACATCGGCACACCGCCCCTACTCCCCTTTGTCTTGTTGTTGAGTGTCACTTCAGTTGTCCTCTTCCCCTGATTATTAGTAGGGCTGAGTTTGCTAGTAAAAAAATAAATAAAACACACACACACACAGACACCTTTTGACGACACATCCCCAAAGGCAATTAGAGGCTTATCGAGCCTGACATGAATTCTGAAGATGTTTGAGGTCGCCCATTCTGCGGAACGACCATCCGCATGCGCAGCTAAACGGCTGGGTGGGTGGATGTGCCGGAGGAGTGTAAGGCCGTCACAGTGGCTGCGGGTTCCTCACTTTCTCGCCCGTTTTCTTTTTGGAACGCACTGCAACAAAGCATGATGATCGCAGCTCAGTGCAAACGTGGTAAATAACGAAGAATCGTTGTCCCCGATCGTGGTTTGTTGCAGAAACAAAAAGTCTTTCATGACAGTTACAGTCAGACTTCGCTTATCCGGCCTTCTCTTATCTGGATCCCTTCCCATCCGTATGAAAATCGTTCACTACCGCTTTACGACATATGCGATGCAGATGCAGATGCGATGCAGATATACAGTATGTGTGTTCGATTATCCGGTTTCCTCGCCCATCCTGAAATTTTTGTGGATAACGAATGTATACGGTTGTGCGAGGTCTGAATGTACACTGAAATTGCACCAAATACTCGAAAATGCTTGAAATTGGCTCCAAGGAGGGAGACGTTCACCGGAGATCTTCCTTCGCCAGGCTAGACGATCCTGTGCCCTGGATAACCCAAGTTTTTTGGGAATGTTCGTGGCATGCAAGTCGCCTACAATGACATCTCGCCAGCTGTTCTTGGGATCATGGCGTGGGATAGACGGCGACAAATCTCCGAAGAGAACTTGCTGCTGAGGCATCCGCTCCAGGCTCATACTTGCAACACACACACAACCCCCCCCCCCCCCACACACACACACAAACACACCTACACACATCCTACCCCAGCCCCTCGCACACAGACAGACACACACACCCAAGCACGCCCACCCGCATCTGCACTTACACACACACAGGCGAACCCCACCCCCCCCCCCCCCCCGATCGGGCTTAATCAAGTAATTTAGTTGTGCCTGTAGGTTGCAAATTACACATACGTACTCCATACGGGTGTGCCGAAAACATACCCAACGGACACTTGCACCACCCTGGTACACCAACATGTTTTTCTTTCAATTTTTACCACACACGCACGCACACACGCACGCACACACATTGCATGTTACACACACTTTGTATTCTGGTGTGTGCCCACAACCTTAGCAATGAGCACTTGCACAACCATGGTACATTGTACACCAAAACCACTTTAGAATCATTTCCCCCATGCACCTACATACACAACACGCAACGTAAAACAAAGTGCAAACGGTATTTGCAATGCTTAGTTCACTGTAAAATATCTTGACACTTATACATGTATAATGGCATTTGATTGAATGAACAGAGCTTGTCTGTAGGCACGATGCCGACTAGGAGGGTCGATATGACAACAGTTACCAAGGGTAACCACCATGCCTCACTGGCTATGTAAACATAGACAAGACCAGTGCAGGGCCAAACAGTAAGTAATAGTTACAGGCCAACGCACGGCCTGCTAGCAATAGAACGGCCACTCCACGGCTTGTTAGAATGACCATCGCACAGCTTTATAGTATAGCCATCGCACTGCTTGATAGAACGCCCACTGCACGGCCTGCTAGCAATAGAACGGTCATTCCATGACCTGATGAAATAGCCAAAGCGCCGCTTATTAAAAATGGCCACTCCACAGGTGGATAGAGCGGCCACTGCGCGGCCAGTAAGAACACGTACAACTCACGGCCTGATAGAAATACGGCAACCTCACGGCCTAGTACCAACACTTGATGATTCAAAAAATACAAGACACAAAGATAATTACAGTGCTGAATGTGCACCAGCAACTAAGATGTTTCATTATCCACAGAACCGTAAAGGCAGGTATGGGGTGATATAGAATCAAATCATCAGCGTTTTCGATAAACTAAAAACCTCAGGCTCACAATATGTTCATTGTACCATTTTGATACTTGTATCTCGGGTGGAAACATGAACTGAAAAGCTCGGGCTCACAATAGCTTCATTGTACCATCTGATGCATCTCGGGTGGAAACATGAACTGAAAACCTCAGGCTCACAATGGCTTCAATGTACCATCTGATACATCTCGGGTGGAAACATTTGCACATAATATATATGTGCAGGGTTTAGTGCACACCAAACACGGACACGCTAGACGGATATGACAGTGCACAGGAGCACGCACACGCTGAACTGTACATGCTGTGTTATAAACAAATCTTTGCCTACACACACATGGGCAGGTCCAGGTCAATGCAGCTAGTACTAGTAGCTTACAATAGTGGCATACCTGCGGAGTGATGAATGCAGTGGTGGACATGGTCGCTGGCATTGTTTCATCACCGTCCTGGCCGTTATATTGTGGCATCACTGGTTCCTTGGGTAGTCTTGTGGTGGTATACCTGCTGAGAGACGGATGCAGTGGTCACTGGCATTGCTTCAGCACCGTCCTGGTCGTAAGATCTGGGCGTCACTTATTCCCAGGCTAGCCTTGCAGTGGCATACCGGCTGAGAGACGGATGCAGTGGTCACTGGCCGTTAGATCTGGACGGCAATTGTTCCAAGGGTAGTCTTTTAGATTGCTCTTCCAGTTCACGAGTGCGAGGAGACTGAAGATGACTGGAGAGCTCTTCACAGCACCCTCGTCAGCTCCTCTCGGCACAGGTAACCTTCGTCAGAGAAGGTAAATGATAGACGGGATTGTTCTCTCAGTGCGTGCACTAGGCACAGGACACTGGACAAAGTGTGAAGTACAACTGTGCACCCTTGACCATTCTGGAACATTTTGTTCCGTTCAACAGTACGGATACTCCTGCGTGACCTTGTTCACTCCTAGTCCCACACAAGGGCACGTTGTTCTGTCACTTCGCTGAACTAGCGTCAGGTATGTCGCATAAGGTATACACGCTATAGACTGGGAGCTTTCATAGATGTCTCCGCGTTAGTGACCGGATAGCTGAGCGAGATAATTCATACCATTACACAGCTACGTGATCTACACGTTTGAGTTTTGGCTGTCACACAGGATATTCTTCCTCAGGTCATATGTCGTAACATCGCCATCATGCTTGCGCAGTGTTTTCAGCTCCGCTTTCTTTTTCATATACATCAGACACAGCAGCAACGCACCGACGAGCAGCATGCACCCTAGAACGGCCGCAAATATACCTGCGAAGATGAGCAGGTAAACCACTTTAAAACCGACGGCGAAGAACACTGTCGACATGATGAGGACAATGTGAGAAATGATGAAGATGCCGATGTCTGCCACATCATGTGTGGCCACCTGCAGAAGACAAGAAGAGCCAAATAAAATACAACCGATTTCTGGATTTAGCTTGTACAGTGGTTTATGGGTTGAATACCTAATCGTTGTTGTGGGTTGGTATTTGAGTGTGAACACAAACAAGCAGGAGCAACCCCAGAGATGAGGGTGGTAGACCCAGGTGCTCGAAGTCCGGACATGGTATCCTAAGTTCGTACGCGCATAATTTCATGTTCTGTTATTGTATTCGACTGAAATGTTTTTTGGAGGGGACAGTGTGGCATGTTCTCCTTGCGTAGCAATTTTCAGGAATCTACGATAAGTGGAAGTCCCACACCACGCGATTGTGTTTTCGAGTGTCCATACGAAATACAAATTGGGTTACATTTCATACAAAAAATCAACTTTGTCAAGACCGATTTCGAACGGACACAGCATCAAACAGACCTTCACTCAATCATCAAGAGCAAGCGTACAGCTGAGAATGGCCAGAGGAGAAGAATTAACAGAGAACCACCAATCCTTGCAGAAAGGTTGACACTCCTGGCATCTCCACCGCTGTTTTCCCGCGGTTTTCACAGCGTAGCTGCTTCTTCTCTGAGCCGACTAAAAGCAGCTTGCATTTCGGCAACAAACCACGCTTTTGCAAGAAATACTGGTGGAGGCACATGCCAAACATATCGCTTCGGTGCTTTCGCCGTAACCGAGGGATCGTAAGTTAGCAATTAGCAGAAATATGTGTATTTCGAGTCACCTCTGATCATTACGGACTTAGAGCACCCTCTGCGACACCAAAATTTGATATGAAAAATCAGCAAACTCCAGAGAAACAGATCGGATCGAAAGATGGCCTGGTTCAATCGAGCCTGGCCTCAGAACAAACTTGGACAAGATCCCTTCCATCCACAAGCAGGATTCTGGCAAGTGATCATTGCTAGTGTGAGTTTCAGCTCGGCAAACACACACTGTAAAAGTGTCCGGACTTT